ATCAAGGCCAAGGTTTTTTTTTGAAACAATAATGGTTCTCGAGTGTCAGTCTCGTCAAGGTATAGAGTCGGGACGTGACAAACTTCGTATCGGAGCCCAGAGTTCAAGAGTACTAGGGTATATATGAAGTCATTTCTTTAGAGTCCTAGTTTCGGTGAGTCGCTCCACATCTATAATTAGGAGGCTGCGACAGAAAATTCCTTGACTTCTTTACACTCATTTCATGCGATAGAGTTCATGTCTATACAGTTTCTTACTAAATCGTGTTTGTACGTAAACGATTGTGAGTTGGACTATTTTTGTTAGTTCTTACATGGGGTGTTTCTTTCCCCGTGACCTAAGAAAAATCGAGAGATGGTTGCTCACATGAGGAGCAGGATGAGTTTATTCATTTTTGGGTGGAATCCTTTATAAAGTAAGGAAAGTAAGGCAACCATGCTAATAGGTGACATGCGCAAAACAAGGCTGATGACCCATGTGCAAAAAGTTTAGAATGAAAAACTGAGGGATAGAGAAGAGTTCAAGAATAAGAGGTCAAAGACATCAGGGAATGATTGGGAAGCAAAAAAGAAATTCGAATGATCTTGTTTTGAACACAAGCAAAAGTGACATACTTCATCATTTTCTAGTGCACCTGTACCAAAGAAACAAATGAAAGTACAATAGTCATAATTCAAAACACTTCATAGCTAAAGCCGCACAATATCAAGGTACTGTTTCACAAGGAGGTAATGTGACTTCTATATTTTCTAAATGTGGTAGGAACCACTCAAGAATATGTCATGATGGATCTATTGGTTGCTTCAAGTGTTGCCAGAAGGGTTACTTAATGAAAGAGTGTCCTAAGAAGCAGCAAGTTAATGGGAATCAGAGCCCAATCTTCATCAGTTGCTCCACGAGACAGGGCTTCACCTAGAGAAACTACTTACAATACTTTCGTAGGAACAAACCATCTTTATGCGATCACTAGTCGCTGAGAGCAAGAGAACTTTCCAGACGTTGTTATTGGTATGATTAAAGTCTTTACTCTTAATTTTTATTCTTTGCTAGACCCAGGAGCAAGTTTATCTTTCATGAATCCTTATGTTGCAAATATCTTTGATGTTCTTCTTGAGAAACTATTTGAAACCTTTTGTGTTTCTACACATGTTGGGGAGTCTATTCTAGTTGAGCGAGTATATTGTGATTGTGTTATTTCCATCAATCACAAGGACACCATGGCTACTTTAATTGAGTAATGCATGGTAGACTTTTATGTCATTCTAGGTTTTGATTGACTTTATGCCAATTATGCCTTCATTGATCATAGAATTCAAGTTGTCAAGTTTCAGCTTCCAAGTAAGCCAGTCTTAGAGTGGAAAAGTAAATCAGCAATGCCTAAGGGTCGTTTTATTTCGTACCTTAAGGCAATAAATTTAGTTTCCAAGGGGTGTGTCTATCACTTAGTCCGACTTAAGGACTCTAGTATTGGGATACCTTCTATTTAGTCAGTTCCAGTAGTAAAAGAGTTTCCAGAATTCTTTCTAGATGATCTACTCGGAGTCACTCCTGACACAAAAATAGACTTTCGCATAGACATTATTCTAGATACTTATCCTATCTCTATTCTGCCATGTATCATGGCACCAACATAGTTGAAAGATCTTAAAAAACAATCGAAAGATCTCCCAAATAAAGGTTTCATTCGACCAAGTGTCTCATTTTGAGGTGCTCCGATCTTATTTATGAGAAATAAAGAAGGTTCCCTTATGATGTGTATAGATTATCCCGGTTGAACAAGGTTACAATCAATAACAAGTATCCTCTTCCGAAGAATTGATAATCTTTTCAATATGCTTCAGGATTCTACTTGTTTATCTAAGATAGACCTAAGATCAGGCTACTATTAGATAAGAGTAAGGGAATGTGATATTCCAAAGACAGCTTTTAGATCACGTTATGATCACTATGAGTTTCCAGTCATGTCCTTTGGTTTGACCAATGCGCTTGCAACATTCATGGATATTATGAATAGAGTACTCAAGCTTTATTTAACCATGTTTGTATCGTTTTCATTGATGACATACTAATATATCGAGGAATGAAGAATGTCATGCTAGCCATGTCAAAATAGTTCTTCGGCCATTGAAAGATAATGAATTTTATATGCTATGTTTTCGAAATGCAAGTTTTGGCTTGAGTTAGTAGAATTATTAGGACACATTATGTCTATAGAGGGAATTAAAGTTGAAACCCAAAAGATAGAGGCAGTGCAAAATTGGACTAGACTCACATCTCTAACTGATATTTAGGAGTTTCTTGGGTTTAGATGGATATTATAGAAGGTTCGTAGAGGGGTTCTCATATATTTCATTCCCTTTGACCAAGTTAACTTAGAAAATAGTGAAGTTTCAAAGCTCTGAAGCTTTTGAGAAAAGCTTTAAGGAATTTAAAAAGAAGTTGACTACTGCTCCAGTGTTGACCTTACTAGAACGTACTCAAGGTTTTGTTGTGTATTGTGATGCATCTATAGCTGGTTTGGGTTTCATATTAATGTAGAATTGAAAGGTTATAACTTATACCTCCAAACACTTGAAACTTCATTAGAAGAATTACCGAAACCATGACACAGAGTTGATTGCTACAGTATTTGGTTTTAAAAATATGGTGTCATTAGTTATATGGTGTTTATGTGGATGTATTAACCGATCACAAGAGTCTTCAATATGTGTTTACTTAGAAAGAACCTAATCTCAGACAAATGAGGTTGTTAGAATTACTCAAGGATTGTGACATAAGTATTCTTAACCACCCAGGTAAGGCTAATGTTGTTGTTGATCCTTGAGCAGGTTGTCTATGAGTAGTACCTCCCACTTTGAGGGAGTTAAGAAAGAAATAGCAAAGGATGTGCACGGACTTGCAGGCCCAGGATTTCGCCTAATGAATTCCACAGAAGGAGTAGTGGTGACGAATAGGGATGAATCATCATTAGTGTCAAAAGTAAAAGTGAAGCTATATCAAGACCTAATTTTTCTTGAGTTGAAGGAAAATGTTCATAAGCAAAAAGTAATGGCTTTTGAACAAGGGTGAGATGGTTTATTGAGATATCAAGATAGATTGTGTGTACCAAGGGTGAATGAACTCCAATAAAGAATCATGGAGGAAGCTCATACCTCTAGATATTCTGTTCATCTAGTTCTATAAAGATGTATGGTGACTTGAGAGAGGTGCATTGGTGGAGTATCATGATGTAGGGTATTGCAGAGTTTGTAGCCAAGTGTTCAAATTGCCAACAAGTTAAAGTAGAGCACCAAAGGCCTAGTGGTTTAATATAGAACTTCTGGAATGGAAGTGAGAGATGATTAATATGGATTTCATCACAAGTTTATCTAGGTCTCGCAGGGAACTTGATTTTATTTGGGCGATTGTCAATAGAATGATATAATCAACGCACTTTTTGACGGTAAAGACTATCATTTATCAAAGGATTATGCCAGGTTATATATTAAAGATGGTTAGACATCATGGGGTTTCGATCTCCAAAGGTGCGCAATTTACTGCACAATTTTGGAAGTCATTCCAAAAAGGCTTGGGATCAAAAGTGAACTTAAGTATTGCCTTTCATCCTCAGACAGATGGACAAGCAGAGCGCACTATTCAGAACTTAGAGGATATGTTGAGAGCTTGTGTGATTGATTTCAAAGGTAATTGGGATGATCACTAACCTCTTTTCGAGTTCACCTACAATAATAGTTACCATTCCAACATCAAAATGGATCCTTATGAATCTTTTATGGTAGAAGATGCACATTTCCTAATGGATGGTTTGAAGTTGGTGAACCAGGGTTTATAGGACCATATTTAGTTCATCGATCTATGGAGAAAGTTAAAGTGATTCAAAAGAGGTTGAAAATGGTGCAAAGTTGTTTGAAATCCCACACTAATGTTAGGAGAAGGGAGTGAGAGGTTGGGTGTATTTAAAGGTTTCACCCATTAAGGGTGTTAAGAGATTCTTCAAGAAGGGGAGGCTAAGTCCCAAGTATATTGACCCTTACAGAATATCTAAGAGGGTTGGTAAGGTAGCTTATGAGTTAGAGCTACCACAAGAGTTAGCTACGGTTCAACCAATATTTTACATCTCCATGCTGAAGAAGTGCATAGGTGATCCTTTATTGATCATACAAACGAAAGACATTGGGATCAAGGATAGCTTATGTTAGAAGATTTCCCAGTTCAGATTTTAGATTTCCAAGTTTGCAAGTTGAGGAAAAAATAGGTAGCATCAATCAAAGTCCTTTGGATGAACCAATTTGTTGAGGAAGCTACTTAGGAAAGCGATAAAGATATGAAGAAGAGATATCCACACTTCTTTGAATTCGGAGAAGTTCCAAATTAAGGTACTAAACATTTACTTGGTATTTATTATAAGTTGGTATGTTGTTCTTTCATTTGCTTGTTGGGTGTTTGAACTAAATGATTGATGTTACACCCTTAGCCTAGTAAGAGTAATCTCATTCGAGGACAAATGTTCTCAAGGACGAGATATTATAACATCTGACAAATTGAAGTACCTAGGAAGAAGTTAAGAATTGGATATAGTGATTTTTGGAAATAATGAAAATCTAAAAATTTATTTAAGTTAAGTTAAGAATGAGTTTTTGGTCAACTCCAAATGACGATAACTCCTAAATAAAGATGAGTTTGGTGTTTTTCCAGAAACCATAGGAAATATCGTTGAATTATCTTTGTAACACCGTCGAGTCTGCGCAATTTTGAGTTTGTATGAGGTAGATATTCCCATTAGAAGTTGGGTAATTGAATAAGGAAAGTCCAATATGAATTTTGGAAGAGTATTTTGGTCTTTTTCCATACTCAACTTAATTAATTTGTTTTTAGGAGTTTAATTGGAGTATATTGATGTGTCCTCAATTTGGACTCATTTTGGGCTTTATTTTAATAGATTTAGTGTCCTCAAATACATATTTTGTGCCAACAACTAATGTAAGTCCTTGATTTTCAAGTATTTAGATTTAGGAACAAAACATGGAGACTAATGAGAAAAATTGAACAAGACAGCTGAAAGAATGAAGAAAAGAAGGTCTGAGGATCACCAAAATCATTGGGTGTGTTGCTGAATGGATATCGTCTCACTTAATGTTTCAGTGTGCCAAGCCCCTAAGGATAAAATCAAGTTAGCAAAGGAGCAGTCGGCTAGTCGTCGAGCGGCTCTGTGATGCAGTAATATATCTCCCAAAGTTACAAAATCTGAAGATGCTGAATGACAAAAGCAAAAAGGCAATGGAATGGATCAAAGGGTGGATCACCGAATGGATTGGTGATAATGACTTATTGCATCGAGTGGACATTCGCAGAACACTTTTTGAAAACTATAAATACATTTTAAAATTCTTAGTTTAGGATCTATCATTCAATATCAGAGTTTTTAGAAGAGAAGTTTCGATTTTCAATTAAGAGTATTCAGATAATAGTTCCTTAGCTTTGAATATTTGAAGATTTCCATTTTTGAGAAATTAAAAGTGGGTATTGAAGATTCTTCATCTTGGACCTTTGCAAAGAAAGTGAAAGAGAGATGTATTTGAAAGGGATGATTTTATGATGAGGGAGAACCCTCTATTTATACAAGAAAACTTGACACCCTTTGGCCAAATGACCGACACTCCTACTTTACACCTGGCATTTTTATATTCGACCGACACAAGAAAACAAATGACCGATACTCCTACTTTACACCTGGACTTTTTATATTCGACCGACACAAGAAAACAAAAGACCTACTATTACTTCTTTACATAATGGCCTCTTCTTATATTTGTGGCCGACACACTCACTATTTACTTTATGACTTTTTACATAATTGGCCTTTTATGGCCGACGCAAAACGACAAAATACAATATTATTACAATAATACTATTATTACATAAAGTATCTTATTTTTGCAAGTTATCTTATTCTAGTTGTACCTCAGGGATTATGTCATCACCTTGGTTACATTTAGAACATATATGGTCTGGGTATTTGTGACCAATTAACTTGCAATATCTTGTCATTAGTTCTTCAGAGATGAATCCTTGTTTTATTGCTCTAGTTGTTGGAGTAGCTTCTGGTTTTAACAAAGAGAAAATCCATTTCTGGACTTCTTCCATATCTGCTTGCATTATCTCTCGCGAATTGGCATATATCATTAAATGATCTCTTGAATAGTAGCTCCATATGGTATTTCCTTGTAGATAGTTATTAGCTAACTCCTGTATGATAGTTGATAACCCGATTATTCTTTTATTAGCATAAAAACTGGGTATCTCAACTTTTGATATCTCTGGTTGTTGCCCTATGTCTTCCGGTATTATCATCTCTCGTGTTAATCCAATTTTCACTATATGGATCATTGGTTTTATTTCATCATAAAGTATCTCAGCTGGTGCAGTATAGAATCTTATGAAAAATAAGTTTCCTTTTGTTATTTTTTTGTATATCAAAAATGCTTTGTGGACCTCCGGAATTCCACTTATCTCTTCTCCTGTATATGTGTAAACTGTATTTAATAATCCATAATTATAACAAGTTTTAACTAGGTTTGGATTTGTTTTTTGTTGTGCGATTAACTTGTTATAACCTTGTAATTTTTGGGTTAGATAGTCCTGGGTTTTTTCTGTGGTTGTGGTAGATTTGGGTTTATGGTTCAAAAAGTTTTGTATTTTGTACAGGTTTTCAATATATGCTTGGGATATGTGGTTATATGTTTTCTTTTCCTTATGCAGGTTGGCTGCATATGTAGATGTTTGTGGTGCTGGAGTATCTACTATCTGTACCTTTGGAATAAATGGTTTCGTAAATAAGCTGTTTAGGTTTGTATTTTTTGATGTAGCTTTTTTCCATAGCTCCCGTGCTTGTACCTGCAACATTAGCAATGTTATGGGTTTTAGGGAGTTTCCCAACATCTCCTTTTAGCTCGGGAATTTTTGCGTCTTCCGATCGACGTAGCTCCACATGTTTATAGTCATGCTGCTGACTTATATTTTTCATCTTTTGAAACTCTTTATCCATACTGTCCACTTTCGCAGAAAGTGTAGTAATGGCTTTGAGTATTTCTTCCATCGCATCTTTTTCTGATTCAGTTTGGGTTCCTTTTTCTTGATAGGTAGTCTGCAACAAGATTCTTGTTAGTTTTAATTACTTCAATTGTAAATGTAAAATTTAATATATTTAATATTAATCTCCTTATTTCTTTCGTTGTAACTGAATCTTCTAACTTTTTTGTTATCCACCATTTTACCTGTGTATTATCTGTTCTTACAATAAATTTATTGTAAACAATATATGGTTCAAATGCTAATAAACATTTATATAATGCGAATAACAAATGGTAAAACATTCCATTCATAGAAACCTTGCGGTACTGTGAATGTTGTTAGCTGTTTAGATTCTTCTTCTAGTTTTATGTGGTAAAATCATGATTTATAGTCAAATTTACTAAAATAATTATATCCTTGTATTTTGTCTTATTTTTAGTATTTTGTTTGGTATTTGATAATTGTATGTTTTAGTTTTAGCATTTAGATTACGATAATCTATGACCATTCTACTTTTACCTCTTTTTTGTTCACTATGTTTTATAATTATAAATGTTGGACTTGTATGTTTGCTATTACTTTCTTGTATATAATTATTTTCTAATAGTTCATCTATATGAATTTTGAATTCCTTTAAATCATCAAAGTTATATTTTAGTGGTTTCTGTGTTATTATACTATTTTCATCTATTAGTTCAATTTTTACTTTTGTCTTATGTTTTTCCCATCCTTGTAATGGATCTTCGTTATATAGTTGTTCTAGTTGTTCATTTATTATTTTAACTTTATCTATTTTAAATATAATAATTTCTAATTGTGATATTTGTTTCTTACTTATATTTTCCATTTCTTGGTTTATTTTTTCACTTTCTTTTATCCATTCTATAGGTTTTCGTTGTTTATTATTTACTCTTTTTGCTCCTATTTTGTTTCGCATGGTGTAGTAAACCACCAATGTGTTTTTGTTATTATATGTGGATAAAATCTATCTAAAAATGGCATTCCTAATAACATATCTTTTGTGGTAAATTCAAGATTATACATTTCTTCTATTGTTAATATTTTATCTCATATTTGTATTCTTATATTTTTTGCTTTATATTTAATCATACTTCCTTCATTATTAAATCTTGTTACTACCATAGGTGTTTTTAACTTTTCCCATTTATCTTTTGGTAAGCAATTATATTTACATATATTCGCTTCTGCTCTTGTATCTATCATAGGGGTATAATATCTGTTGTGATATCCTTCTTCAATAATTTTTGCAAGTATAAATATTTTCATTAATCATTTTGTTCTTTTTATAATTATTTTCTTATTTTGACAAGTTATTGTTAATTGTTCATTTTCTATGTTGTATGGTTTAAATTTTTCTAACCATTTTATTCCTAATGTAATATTATGGTTTCCTTGATATATTTTAAATGGTATTACTAAGGGTATTCCTCCTATAATTATTTCTTTATCCGTTGTTTTTTCATTTGTGTTTACTATCTCACTAGGTAATCCAAGGCATATGTGTCCTGTTTTTATAATTTCTTCTTCTAATACTAACATTCTTGTTATGTAATTTTCTTCTTGTCCTGTATTTATTAAAATTTTATATTTTCTTTGGTCTATTATTCCTGTTATGAAATAGTGATATGGTGTTATTTCTTCCTTATCTAATAAGTTTTGTGGAATTTCATAGTTTCTTTTAGATGTACTCATTCTTGGTGAGGTAGCTCTTGTTAACGTATTTTGTACGCTTGAAGTGCTTAATCTTTCTTTTACAATTTCTAAATCTTCTTCTGTATCAATTTCTTTATAACTATAGTCATTATTGTCTATTATAGTAATTATTTTTTCGAAAGGATTTTCTATTTTTATTTTATCGATTTTATTTCTTGCTGTTATTTTATGTTTTGCTGTTAATATATATAAGTTTTTGCATCTTGCTGTAAATATTTTACTGCCTGGTGCTAACTCTATTCCAGATATTTTCCAATATAATACTAATGATTTATCTATATTCCTATCTGTTAATGTTCTGTATAATTGGCACTTATTATAAATTTAAATTTTTGGTATATTAGGTTTCCTTTTACTGCACTGATTACGCTTTTTTCTATAGGGTGTATAATTCTACCATCTGCTAAGTATATTTCAATAGGTGTATCTATTCCTTCTCTAAAACAAGCTTTTATTAATATTTCTGTTCCTCCTAAATGTACATATTTTATAGGTGTTTTAGATTTTATATCTTGTATTTCTTTATTTATTATTCGTTTACTTAGTATAGGTATATATGCTTTTCCTCTTGCATATTTACAATCTATAATATGTTCTTTCTGACTAACTACATAATATTCTTCCTTTTGTCTTTTAAACCAATTTCTTAAAGTAGGTATTTCAAGTACTTTTTCAACACTTAAGTCTAATTCTTTTCCTTTTATTTGTTCAAAAATTGTATTATCAAATATAATTTTTTGGTCTGATAACTCTTCATTTTGATAATCTTCTTTGGATATTATTTTTATATCGTCTTCAGACATTATATTTCTTCGTCTATTATATCATTATTTAGGTTAATATATTCTTCTTCATTTTCTGTTTCTATGTCTGATACTTCGTATATACTATCATTTTCACTTAGTTCATAGTCTATATATTCTATTTGCATATATTTGTCACTATCTATAATTATTTCTGCAATTTGCTTCTTTTTTGGGTCTTTTGGTAACTTAC